AATAATTTTACTGTGGGAACAAAATGATAAGCTCTTTCGGATAAGTATTAGCAAGTACCTTACCATGTGATATCTGTCGGCAAATGTTTTTTCGTTCCACAAATATTCAGGATATCCAACCTTATATACAGCTGCATCGGCCTGGAAAAGTTAACACAAATAATCATGTAAAATGAACGAGAGCAAGCGAGGAAAGGAAATGAACCGAAGCGTCACGCTGTATAACACACACACAAAAATGTTTTCCATGAATGATTTCTTCACGTTCAGACGCAACATTTTATTTAAAAAAAAATCATTTTATTTAAGCGCGTACCTTCTCTCTGACGGCTTCGACAGTCTGCTTGTCGATCCAGCCCACCCCTGACACACGGTCCTTAAATGCCCGGATGATACCTTCCATCATCACTTCCACCTGGAAAAGAAACACTTTGTGATCACCTTGACAACAAAGGAGACAACGGAGAAAGCCAGTCAAATTTCTTATTCCACTAGAGTAACCACTCCTGGCCAACATCGTTGCAGTTTTGAAAGTAGATACGAGCGTTACTTCCTACCTTTTCTTTGCTATCCGGGCCGAAAGCATTTCTGATAAACAGCGCACCAAGCATGGGTCCGAGAATATTGTTGGTGTAGCTGAAACAGACTTCTTCTCTGGTCTTGTTTGTTTTAGAACCAAGAAGTCGTTTCTTGAACTTCTGATGAACAGCTCGGAATTTGTCGCAAAGGAGGGGCACGGAGTCTTTAATAGAGCGCCACACCATGTACGTGGATAAGACCCTAAGAACAGACAACAACTTTGTATTTGTAAATGGTATATGCTTAATCTTTTCATGCATCAAAATTTGAAAGGAAAAAGATCTTTCATTCTCAAACTTGGTAATTAGTCAGTAAGTGCGAGGACCCGTGACCCACAATTCCCTGTACTCCCATAAACCCTGGCGGGACTTGTAATAAACTGAGAAACAACACGTCAAAATAAAGGAAATCACTGACCGTGACGGTGTTTTTGGTTTCTGACCCTAATTACCTTATATTTGATTGAGTTCCTCTGTTTCCTTCTTTAGTTTTGGTTTCGATTTGAAAGATATATCAAACACTCGAAACAGTGTTTTTAAGACCTCAAAATTCATCAAAGCTACTCCACTGAACGTCGTATTTTTATCTCTCTTCTCGGTTTCTGGGAATGTGGTAAAACACAGTCTCTCATGTTTGATATATTACTACCAAAGCTGTAACGGAGTACGAGCTAAACTCAATGCGCATTTATCCATATTGTGTTTTTTAACATTCTTTCCATCTTTAGCCATTTCTAATTCTGGGCCCTTGTCAATTCGTCGAGTATTTTTCTTCAAAATCACACCCTTATTATCAGAAAGGTTTTCTTTTTTAGCTGCGATCAGATTTTTTACCTTTGAGAAATTGTGCTAACAAACAGGACAAAAGTACTGCCCTTATTAGCCAGCTTTATCTAGTGCCCAGATCTCTCTGTTCGACGCTTGGCCGTGGAGATCTGGGTTCCAGATTATAGCCAGTTTAGATAATATTACTAAATAGTATAAAATCAAATTACCTCTTATCCGTCTTGCGCAGTAGATCCAACATATTTTGTAAATAATCATTAGCTAGTACTACGACCGTGTCGTTCCTTGAAAGGTCTGGATTCGAAAGTACCCTCTGTAAATGTTCAAGCCACGGAAACTGATGAAAGAAATAGAAATCATTGATAAAGTCAGAGAGGTTCTCTGTGTCATAGGCTCCAATCAGGCTAGAAAAAAGGTTTTATTTTCAAGCACAAGCTCCGTACTTTTACATAACATTTTCCGTGCACATGGTTCATTTTCGACCAAATCCCAGCATACTTTGCGGTACACGTAATTGTGGTCACACACTCAACGCAACATGCCACGCACTCTACCTCTGCATCCGAGCTTAGAGCGTGAAAGCTAATTTTGTTAGTAGTCGATCAAGAGAGTCGTAAGAACAATTTAGTGAAACTTGAAACAGGCGGAAAATCCTTTCGGCATTTTGCTTTGGCCCCAGCATTCTTTCTTGTTTCCCTAATAGTTGACTGGCATGGACATTCGATATTCCTTGGTTGAAAAAGACAGTGAGAGAGTTAAAGGCCTTGGCTAAGAAAACAGCACAGTGACCCCGGTTAGCTCCCTTATCCGGGCATGGTCTGGAGTACATCGGGCTAACCGTTAGGGCATGGGGACCATCATAGGTCGGCAACGCATACAAAAAGAGAAACACGTGAAAAAGAGAGTGACATTAGGTTTACCTCTGGGAGAGCATCCGCTAGCTTGCCAATGGGAATACGTACATACTTCTTGGACACTTTCGGAACCCAGTACTGTGAAAAAAGTTTAACAGAAAAAGTTAAAAAAGGTCTCTAGTTTTATTGTACTGTCAGAATATTCATTGTTCCGCGTGAACCGTCATATTTGTGAAACTGCTCTCAAAAGGTAAAGGAAATTTTAGAATAAAAGGTTACTATGGAAGAAAATCACCAAGACTCACCGGAGAACATCAATGATTATAATTAATTAAGAAGACGCAAAACGTCTAAGATGTATTGCGAACTACACCAGAGAAATTGTGTCTTGAAAAATGCTTCATTTTCGTCACCATTTGCTATGAAGTAACAAGAAGTCTATTTCTGAAATCACTTTCTAAAGATCATTCTTACGATCAGACGCAACATGTAGTGTTGATTGGTGATTGAATAACTGATTCTCCTCCCCAGAGCCGACGTTTCATTTGATCACGTGGTCGGTGAAACGGAAGGCTGTGGACGCACCCAATACCAGATGCAGGGTGGGGAGGGGGATCCGCAAATCACGGACATCCGAAAGGGCATTCGTAATTTTTGCTAACAGATCTGCTCATGCCCATTCTCGTCCGTAACGACTTTTTGAAACGAGTAGCACTGGGTACGAGGATGTCTAAAAATATAAACGGTGGACAATACATCTTTATTTTCACTTACCAAAGCAAGGTTACCCTCAAAAAGAAGTAAATCTTTCATCGCTCGTTTAGCCTCTCTACGGCCGACTCCTGCGAGACTTGTAATAATCGACATATATTTCCATACTTCCTTTAGAATCTAAGAGATCAATAGCCGTCAGTAAAGTACTCTCAAAACTACTATCTGATTAATACTCCAGGTTGTCCTCTATTAAAAAAAAGACGTTTATAAAGTAAAAATTTCCTTCAAGTTTTACCTTTTTACTGGTGAAATAAATGATTTGAGGAAGGTTTAATGTTGCTTGATCGATCTAAATTGAAACAGAAACGGAATCAAAGATAAGAAACCCTTGTTAGCGTGATGCTTGCATCATGTCACATATCATTATCAATTTAATTAATAACACTAAAACAAGCCAATCAGATGAGCACTGCGCGCAGATATCATAAGCACGAGCATCCTCAYTCTACCGGAGAGCCAAATATTGTATTTCAACCACGGAAACGTCCTGAAAAGGGAACAAATTGATTATGGAGAAGTGGTATTGGACAAAGTGTCCCATACCGCCGGAGCTTACTCCTGTTTCAGTAGCATGGGGTGTCTGGGCGTATTTCTACTCCCCACTGATGTGATGTTAGTCCATCGCAGGGTTACCCCCAGCATTAAATTCGCTGGTACTCATTTATACACCTTGGTGGAGAGAGAAACTCGGCTGCCAGAGTGAAGCCTCTAGCCCCAATGCAAAAGCACAACGAAATGATCCCGGTCAGAGCTCTCACCCTAATCACTGCATCCAATTTACGGTTCTAAGCATATCTATAAAGACGTTTTAGTATCCAGATTTTGAGGTCTGGGTTCCATCCCTAATCCCCCTGCCCCAACCCCCGGGAGGAGTACTCGCATATATATGCTATATGGGTATGTGCCGCTGTGAAGAGAATGGTTTTCAGGCAGTATAGTCTGGGAGAGGGTTTAGAAATCAGACAGTTTTGGTCTAGAATGGGGTATAATTTATCGGAAAAGTGGCCAGTGTGTAAATAATTTAATGTAGAACAAGGTTCTTTACCTGGGGTGCTATAATAGAAATTGAAAATCGGATGTGACTTCGTAAAATATTGGTTTAGTTCGCGTATGTGAACTACGATAGTGATAAACGGTTCTGCATGGAAAGTAGCTCGTCTGAGATAGGGTAGGAGGTTTTGGTGTCTAGTCTAGAATAGGGTTGCAAAATCAAGCTGATCATGGTCTAGTATAGTAAAGGTTTCAGTGTCCCAGCGGTGCACCCTTACCCAAAGATTTACAGATTAGCCGCCAGGCCCTCACCCGGGTCATTGTATCTAGAATGTTAGCATGCTTTATATTTCAAATACTACTTACAAGAATGACATATTTTCGTTCAGTGCTCCCAATCTTCTTGACGGGATCTTGAATCACGTTCACACTGAAGAAAACCTCCACCGGGTAATTCTTCTGTACATCGGCTAAAACTCTGTAGAAGTCCCATTGCTTAGGACTCCAGTCCCGGTTTAAGGACCAAGAACCCAAACTATCAATGTAATTCAACAATGGCTCGTTTCCCAGCTGGTCGATCTGTTCCACGTTCAAACACGAGCGGTAAAAGTTCTTTACTTTCATTAGAGTTTCGGTATCGTCGGGTCGATCCGCTGCCAAAGATTCCTTCATAATGCGCTCGTTGTTTTTCGATAACTGTGTTATCCTAGAAAATTGTAAGTGGCCTTTGGGCACAGGGTTATTTTTTATCCACTGACCACAAGCATACTCATAAAAATTATCACAAGGGTCCACTGTCTCGTTGCGAACTTGTTGTATTAACTTCGAAATAGCTTTACAACTCTCTGATTGGCAGGTCGGTGTGTTTAGCTTGGTTTCATTCGAACTACGGGGATTCACTTGCGATGGCGGGCCGCTTCTAACGGGGGGATCTTCTACGGGTAAACTAGCACATGAAACTAAAACGAAGAAAATCACGTTTAGAACGAAAACCTTCAGACCGTTGTGTCCAAGGAACGCGGTAACACCAGCTCTGAGTAAATTTCCTCCTTCCATTTCTTCCTGAAAGCGTTTACCGGTGTAAAACAGAAAAGTTGTTATTTCGTAGTCATGTTAACAGCTTTTAAGTCAGATGTTTTGCGCGTAGAAGAAGGAAACTTTCATTCGCTGAGCCCGTGACTTTTTGATGTAAATATTCTTCTCTGATCTTCAGAGATCAGAGAGCTCGTTCAATTGATTACGGAATCGAGCCGGTACCAGTTTGAGAAGTGAATGCTTCATTCTGCCACCTGTTACGACAAGAGAATGAAAATGCCAAAAAAAAAAATCGGAAAGTGCAGATGGGATAAGAAAACAACTCAAGCGTGCATGCCTTGTTCAGATACAGCAAGAAATGTAAAAAAAAGAAAACGCTTACGGTCCATTTGACACCACTCTACGACCAAATTGAAATTTCTCAGTTTCATTCCGAGGGCGTATTCACCTTCGTCAGAGTTTGTGAAGGTGCTAATTGCACGGGGCTTGTGCTATATTACTGCCTGGGCAGTTTGACCAGACAGTTCTTATGAAGTGTTCGGTGATGCTTAGTCGAGAGCTGAGCATTTTAAAATCTATCACGAAAGAGTATTTTTGGTAGAGGCGACGATGGTAGAGAGGAGCTAATATCCCTGGGATGTCCTCAGGGTGGCACTAATGAAATCGGAGGGGATATTTCTTCATAAGAACGGACCGGAGCGTATAACTTCAGGCCCTGAACTTCTAACAGGATAAAGAAATTACTTGTTGTCAATAATTTTAAGAATATGAAAAACGCTAGAAAGGTTTTGGAGGACCTTTTTGTTCAGAGAAAAAGCAGTTAGGTTAAAGAGAGCGAAAAACGGGGTTAGGCAAGTCGGAAACGAACAAAAATAAAGGAAACTGATCAAAGTAATAGAGAATACCTAACTAAGAAAAGCATCACCCTTTCCCATTTTCTAGTTTAATGCTTGTGTGAAATACAATTTTGTTTTTTTCTTATTAATAAACTATTACTAAGAGATAATATATCAAAGAAGTGAAACAATCCGTCTAAAATTTTGGGAGTCGATAAATTACTGCGGAGAAATAGATGATTTCGGCGTATAAACGAAAAAAAAAACATTACATTTACAGCTGGTACAAAAATACGACACAAATAAAATCAAACGTACAAGCAAAAAATTTCTTCTAGCCCTATGGGGGCTCGAATACAGCCCTGTGGGAGGGTCGAACTCCCGACCCCTGGTTTACGAGACCAGTGCTCTGCCACTGAGCTAACAGGGCTTTGTGACAAACACTGAGTGAAAATTAAAATCAAATAACTTGGGTTGCCAGGTGCTAAATAAGCCTTCACAACGAGAATGATAAGTTGAAAACGGGAAGAAAAATATTCAAATTTCATTCTGCAAAATATACACACGTTAAAAAGAAAATCGAGAAAAAGCCGGTAAAAACCGTCTTGCTATGGAGTTTCTAACACAGGCTAAAAAGCACGAACGACATTTTACAGCACTATGAAACATAATTTTCTCTTGAACATCGCGACCTGAAAATGTTGCTCAACAGCATCATGTATAGACTCCACAAACACCAGGCCGCAAGTTACATTTGTCTATACAAAAGATGAATGTTTTTCAAATGCTTGGCTCCTTCTTCAAAACTTGAATGAATGAAAAATCAAACTCATGTCCGTAATTTTCCCTAACCTCGTTTCCACGATCACTCCCCTCCCTGGGAACGAGGCCTATTTCTCTCCGTCCGATCTTTCGACCTCTTTCCGCCAACTAATGCATGAGAACTAAACTAAACAGGGTTTAAACTCCAATGACCTGATTTTGACAGAATTTTTTATTATAACGACCTCATTTTGAGTATTCCTTTCATTTTCTATTTGCTGAAGGTAAATGTTTGAACAATGCGCTTGCTCATTCTTGCTAAAAAGGTTGTGTTTCTATGGACAGCAAACAACAGCTATCAATTGATGTAAAATTTTCTCAACAACGCGGTGTAAAATGCCACATTATCATCATTCTGAAGAATAAGTATTTAACCAGCCTTGATCTGTAGTTGCACGTTTACATTCTGTCACTTCCGCTGACATCAGAGAATTGATAAAGGAACAGACTTCTATTCATAGAACAAGCAAGACCATCTCTGCATCTCATATCCCTTGTCATTTGCATGAAATCTTGGCGATTTTGTATTTTAATTGAAGCAAGAAACAATGAGATCTTTGAGAATCAAGACGTTGCTTCAAATTTTGGATACAGTCGGCAAGGCTCTCTCTGTTTTAGCACTGGTGCTGATTTACAATCAGGTGAGAGAGAATCCGAGTATAGGCAAACCAAACAGCTTGGAATGGAAGGGGACACAAGTTGATTCAAAAACAAGTTCATCAGTGAAAAATAATTCTGTGTACAACCGTGGAAAATTAACGGTGCAAGTCTGGCCAAACATTTGTGGCGGCAAATTGTGGCATCTGTTAAACTCTCCCTTCTTTCCACGGTTTTTCGACGAGTCGTATTTCATTTCTCAAACGAGAGCTGCGTTTAACAAGAGCAACTATGGCCAGCGAATCTACGGCTTTTTGCAACCGCCTGAGACCGGTTATTACAAGTTTGTCCTGTATTCGGATGACGGCTCAGAGTTTTGGTTTGGTTCAAATGGAACTTTGGCAAGTTTGAAACTCGCGGCGAGCGTAGCATCGCGGGAGAAAATTGGACGAGCCCCTGTTGGAGAAATCCACTTCGATTCTCAAATATCGGAGGATTTCCTGCTCGAAAAGGGGAATAGATATCCACTTGAAATCATTCACCTTCAAGGGACAGAAGCTGATTTTGTAGAACTACACTGGATTCGACCAGGAAAGCACTTTTTGGAGGTCGTAACGTCGGAGTACATTTCACATTCTGTTAACTTTCAATCAGTGTTTCAAAGTACTAATTTTAAGGTTGCATCAAGAAGCCAATCGAGTTTCAGCACCAGGCCTTATCTTGTGACTTTCCTCACGGACAGCACTGTGGAACGCACGCTTTCCACGTGCAGCTACACACTTCCGGCCCCGTCTAAACCGGATGTACCTCGTTTCCATGGCTACAAGACCATCAAGGAAGTTACCATGGTAACTAATGACAAGGACTGGAGAGGAAACACAGAGGCAAAGGAAGTGATACATCGTTACATGGCGGGACTCGAGAAGATTTTTCCTAAGTAAGTTTTCTCTTTAATTTTATCATCCGCTGANCACGTTTACATTCTGTCACTTCCGCTGACATCAGAGAATTGATAAAGGAACAGACTTCTATTCATAGAACAAGCAAGACCATCTCTGCATCTCATATCGCTTATCATTTGCATGAAATCTTGGCGGTTTTGTGTTTTAATTGAAGCAAGAAACAATGAGATCTTTGAGAATCAAGACGTTGCTTCGAATTTTGGATACAGTCGGCAAGGCTCTCTCTGTTTTAGCACTGGTGTTGATTTACAATCAGGTGAGAGAGAATCCAAGTATAGGCAAACCAAACAGCTTGGAATGGAAGGGGACACACGTAGATTCAAAAATAAGTTCATCAGTGAAAAATAATTCTGTGTACAACCGTGGAAAATTAACGGTGCAAGTCTGGCCAAACATTTGTGGCGGCAAATTGTGGCATCTGTTAAACTCTCCCTTCTTTCCACGGTTTTTCGACGAGTCGTATTTCATTTCTCAAACGAGAGCTGCGTTTAACAAGAGCAACTATGGCCAGCGAATCTACGGCTTTTTGCAACCGCCTGAGACCGGTTATTACAAGTTTGTCCTGTATTCGGATGACGGCTCAGAGTTTTGGTTTGGTTCAAATGGAACTTTGGCAAGTTTGAAACTCGCGGCGAGCGTAGCATCGCGGGAGAAAATTGGACGAGCCCCTGTTGGAGAAATCCACTTCGATTCTCAAATATCGGAGGATTTCCTGCTCGAAAAGGGGAATAGATATCCACTTGAAATCATTCACCTTCAAGGGACAGAAGCTGATTTTGTAGAACTACACTGGATTCGACCAGGAAAGCACTTTTTGGAGGTCGTAACGTCGGAGTACATTTCACATTCTGTTAACTTTCAATCAGTGTTTCAAAGTACTAATTTTAAGGTTGCATCAAGAAGCCAATCGAGTTTCAGCACCAGGCCTTATCTTGTGACTTTCCTCACGGACAGCACTGTGGAACGCACGCTTTCCACGTGCAGCTACACACTTCCGGCCCCGTCTAAACCGGATGTACCTCGTTTCCATGGCTACAAGACCATCAAGGAAGTTACCATGGTAACTAATGACAAGGACTGGAGAGGAAACACAGAGGCAAAGGAAGTGATACATCGTTACATGGCGGGACTCGAGAAGATTTTTCCTAAGTAAGTTTTCTCTTTAATTTTATCATCCGCTGACTAAAAGAGTGCATCTTGTCCTCTGA